GCAGCTGTAGCACCAGTCCCAGCGAGAGATGAGGGTCGTGGGCATGAGAGGTGGGCAGAGGCAGGGTCGATTCTGAAGCTGAGCGGACAGATTTTATTTTCTTTTTTCTTTTCTTATTTTTTAAAATGTGTTTATTTGAAAGGCAAGGTGACAGGGGGAGAGAGAGATCTGTCTCCTGGTTCACTCCCCAACTGGCCCCAACAGCCAGGGCTGGGCCAGGCCTAACCCAGGAGCCTGGAACTCCAACTGAGTCTTCCCCGTGGGTGGCAGGGGCCCAGTCACTGGGGCCACCACCCAGTGCCTTCCCAGGTGCATTAGCAGGGAGCTGGACAGAAACAGAGCAGTCAGGGCTCAAACCGGTGCTCAAATACAGGATACTGGCATTGCAGGTGGAGGCCTAACTCACTGTAACGCAACACACACACACCCACACTCACATGGGATTTCTGAGCGGTGGGTGTGAGGTGAGAGAGGGGGACTTGCTGTGATCAAAGCAGCCGAAGTGAAGGAGCTGCCTCAACCTGGAGTGGAGAGGATCAGATGACATCTGAGTGATGGTCGTGTGGTGGAGACGGCGACGCCGGTGTCCACAGGCCGGGGGGCCAGGCTGGAGCCTTGAATGCCCTATTTTACAGGTTCATGCCAGTAACACAACATGCTTGTTAGAGGGGGAGCAGGATGCGAACTGAGGTTTCTCTGGCCGCAAAGTCCATGCTTTTCCTGCTGCCCTGTGCCAGGGACAGGGTGTGGCCGGCTGGTCTGCCCACCCCACCCCACCCCAGCAGTGGGGGTTGCCCAGTGGAGCCCTGCTGTGCCCTGGCCGGCTTCCTTGTCTCCAGGGCTGGGCTGGGCTGCCAGGGCAGAGGGCACTCACTAAGTACGAGCCTGCATTGAGCCTGCATTTAGGTCCGACAAAGAGGGACGATGCCTAGTGACCCCCGGCGCCAGCAGCCCTGTGAGCGCTGCCGGCCTGGCCTGAGGCCATTATCCGTCCAGCAGAGAGCATTGGGTTAGCATCGATCAGCCTGGAGAGGAGCAGCTGCAAGGCGGGAGCGGCAGGAGAGGGGAACCTCAGTCCTGTGGGGGTGGGGGCGGCCGCAGGGCCAGAGGGGCTGCTCCTGCCGCTGCCCAGTCTCCAGGTTTGCGGGAACCCCGGGCTGCCTGGGTGCCCAGGGGAATCCAGCCCATCTCGGGGCAGGGAGAACTCGGTGCCCTGTTGGGCCTGGGTCCTCCTCCCCTTCCTTCCTGCTCCTAGGGGCCGGGATGCTGCAGGATCCCCGACACACAGTCAGTCCTGGTGCCGTCGGGAGCTCTCTGCCTCCCCGGCCCAGGGTTCCCCCAGCCCAGGAGAGCTCTGCACACATGGAGCCTGAGAGAGCGGCAGGGGTTAGAGGGACCCCTGTCACCTGTGTCGAACCTCCGTGCCTTTGCACGCACTGTGCCCTTTGCCTTTCCCTGTCCATCGTCCCCACCAGGTCTGGCCCCCACGGGATCCTTCATTCACACACACATCTGGGGGCTGCTGAGCGGCCTTGGGTTCCATGCTCTCCTCTCTGCCCCCAGTCTGTCCAGCAGGCCGGGTCTGGGGTTTGCCGGGAGGAGGCCCTGACAATCCCAGCTCTCCCAGACCACACGGTTGGAGCTGCACGCTGGGCTGGGCACCAAGCATGCAGCCTCTCACTGAATCCAAGGCAGCCCCATGGGGCCAGGACCCTTCTTATCCCCTTTCACAGATTAAATATTCCAGCAAGTTGAGGACCTGCCCGTGTCTGGCAGCTGAGCAGTGACAGAGCGATGTGCATGGTGGCATAGGCAAGTGAGCCCCACCACTCTCCACACAAATGCCCAAGTGCCCAGCACCAACCTGGGATGGGCCCTCCCCCAAGACCCCTAAGAGCCCCCCCCCACCCTGTCGAGGGCCCCTCCCACGAAGGTACCGCCAATGCTAGGCGGCAAGTGGTAAACAGAGCTAGTGAAAGGCTGCAGGGATGCAGGTAAGCTCAGGTGTGAGAGGCCAGGGGCCTCAGGAGTGGCTGAGTAGAGGGCAGAGTGAGCCCTGCGGGAGGAGGAGGAGGCGGGGAAGGAAGAGGAAGGCCTGGGGAAGGCCCATCCTTGCTCTCTTCCCCACCCCTGCCCAATGCGGGAGGGGGCCGGGAGGCTCCTCCAGGGAGACTTGGATCCCTGCTCATTTGCAACCTTACAATGCACAGCAAAGAGGGCCTCCTTGTTACCACATTAATCTGGTGATCAGCGGGTCAGGGCTCCCAAGGGCTGCACGGAGGGGCAGGGGAGGAGCCGTGGGAATGAGTGCCTCCCTGGGAAGAAGCAGTGGCCTGGGGACAGGGGATCCAGGGTCCTGGACTGGAGCAGGCTTCCAGGGCGGAGACGCAGACTTGGCTGGGACCACCCATCCCCCTGTAGGAGGGGCAGCCTCTCTGGTGCCCCTGGCATCCGGGCAGTACCACAGGGTAGAGAACCCCCCCCCTCCCCCCCGATTCAGATCCCACCAGCCAGCCGGCTTCCAGAGATGCCTCAGTCATCCTCTGGTCTTTGGAAGGAAGTCACTGTGCTGTGTCAGCCCCCCCCCCCCCCCCGTCTTCCTCAAGATAACAGGGGGTGTAAGCCAGGCTTGGCTGGGGCCCCTGCCTCCCCCTTCTGTGGCCCTCGCAGTGGAAGGGCAGGAGGCTCCTTCCAGGGACCTCGCCTTCACCCCACCCCTGCCCCAGGCTCCTCCCACCCACACCTTTGGGCGGTTTGGCTTTTCACTTCCACTGGGGGCCCCTCCCCTGATTCCCCTGTGCCTGACGCTGCTTTCTGAGGGGGCTACGCCTCCCCAGGGGGCTCCCAGTTTCTCTGGATGTCATTTCAAAGAGCCCCATGCTGGGGCTCCCAGAAACAGAGCCACAGTCCAGCGGGGGAGGCAGCTCTGGCCCTGAGCAACGCCCGCTGTAAACTCCACTAAGCTGGACAGATGTCGGGTGGGGTCAGCGCCAGCCCCGCGGCTCACCCCCGCTCACAACTGCCCACGGGGAAGCCGTACCTTCCTGTCTGCAGGACCCCCTGGGGGCTTGTGCAGCCCTGGCCTGGGTCCTTCTGCCTGAGATGTGGAACAGGCACCCCGGGGGCCAGGAGGGACGGCCTGGTGCCCCCAGAGCTGCAGGGTAGAGCCGCTCCCTGGGGGAGGCTTCGGCAGGGGTGAGCAGCGGGAAAGGAGAGAGGGGAGGGGTTTCGTCGGCTCTGCCTAAGGTTGGGCCTCCCCCAGCCCTGGCTGTAGGGGCTTAAAGCAGGAGACAGGTGCAGGGTCCCCTGGTGTGGCTGGGATTTGGAGCCCCCGCCCCTACTCTCTTACACCCCTGCCCCACCTCCCTAAGCAAAACGGGCACTGGGGGACTGGAGTGGGGAGGGCTGCCCTTAGCCGTCGTGGCCATTCACGTTCTGGCGGGGAGGAACTGAAGCTGCGGGGCAGCAGCTTGGCCTGGCCTGCAGGCTGTCCAGGGGCTGGGGTGACTGAAGGCACAGCAGAGGCCGCATGGAGCATGGCCGCGCCCACAAAGGGCCCTCCAAGCCGTGCTGCCGCACCGCCACTGCCTCCCAGGTCATAATTGCTCTGAAATCGCAACCGAACCCAATTATGCAGAAAGCAAATTATGTGCGATGATTTTTGTATGTAGGAAACGTTCGGTCGGAGCCGGGTGATTACAGGGGGACGGGAAGCAGCTGCCACTCTGGGAGCCCATAACGCCCAACAGCTGGGAGCTGTCACTTATTTACAGCGCCATTTCTGCCTGGAACGAGGGGGCGGCAGTGGCAATGAGGCCTGCTCGGCCCAGAGCCCGAGTAGTGGCAGGCCCGGGAGAATGGGCTTCCGGACGACGAGAGGCTGGGTGTGGGGGTGGCCAGGAGGGTGGTCTTCCCGTCCTGCGTGTCCGGGGCGCAGCTGGCAGGAGAAAAACCCGCTGAGCTGCCCCAGGCGCTGTGGCTGTCCCCAGAGGCCTGGCCGGAAAGGCTGGGACAGAAGGGGCAAGAGGCCAACCAGGCAGGGAGGAGCCTGTTGCCCACACCCTGGCGCACCTCGCAGGCCGCTCGGGACAGCTGTGACCCTGGAAAGGGCAGGTGACGATGAGCGTCCATAATGAGGCTGCTCTGGTAACGAGCGTGGGGCTCTTATCCGACCACAGGCTGGACGCATCCGAAAATAAATTATTTTAAGGATCCATTAAAGAATGCCTAATTAATGCCCAATTAGGGGGAAGCTACAGAGGAAATGCTCTGGACAGTCGAGAGGTAAGCCTGGTCGTGCAGCCGCAGCCTGGGAGCTGGGGCGGGGCAGGGACGGGGAAGCACTAGGCCTCAGCTGGCAGCTTCGTGGGCTCCACAGCGGCTTTGTGTGTCGGCCCTGCTGTCACCCGACCAGGCCCCCTCTCGGGACCTCTGCAACACTGTGTAAGACAGAGCTATGGCTGTCCATATTTTAGATAAGAGGAAACTGAGGCACGGAGGAGGTGCTGCGTATTGGGGGACACGGAAGACAGAGTGTACAGGACACCTCGTGCAGTGCACCTTGGTGCCGTGTGCACGCTGTGTGGTTGGGAATAACCTGGTGCTCTGTGAGAGATTTCCTTTGCTGGAACCACAGCACGCCACTGTCTGTGAACACAGAGAGCAGGAAGCAGGCGGCAGAGCTGGGATGAGAGCCCACGGCGGCCTGGCTGTGTACAGAGATCGCAGCCCCACCCCAGCTGGCATGCCTGACTAAGCCCGAGAGGCAGGGCTCAGCCACTGTGGGGTGGGGGTGATCGGGGTCTTCACCCCAAACTCGCCTGCCCCAGGAGAGGTGTGGATGCCCAGCACTAGGAAGAAGCACCTGGTCCCAAGTGGCTCCCAGCAGCCAACACAAACAGCATCCATGTGCTGGGGGGGGCGGTTGCGTACCCATCTCCTGCCGGCGCCCCCCCTCCCCGCGCGGCCCCTGACCTGGCTGTGCTGTGTCTCCCTGCCAGGGTGCTGTGTGGAGCTGCTGCTGCTGCTGCTGCTGCTGGCCGGGGAGCTGCCACTGAGCGGCGGCTGCCCGAGGGACTGTGTGTGCTACCCGGCGCCCATGACGGTCAGCTGCCAGGCGCACAATTTCGCCGCCATCCCCGAGGGCATCCCTGAGGACAGCGAGCGCATCTTCCTACAGAACAACCGCATCAGCCTCCTGCAGCCTGGCCACTTCAGCCCCGCCATGGTCACCCTGTGGATCTACTCCAACAACCTCACCTTCATCGACCCCGGCACCTTCGAGGGCTTCGTGCACCTGGAGGAGCTGGACCTCGGTGACAACCGGCAGCTGCGGACGCTGGCCCCCGAGACCTTCCAGGGCCTGGTGAAGCTCCACGCCCTCTACCTCTATAAGTGCGGGCTCAGCGCCCTGCCGGCGGGCATCTTTAGCGGCCTGCACAGCCTGCAGTACCTCTACCTGCAGGAAAACCACATCGAGTACCTCCAGGATGACATCTTTGTGGACCTGGTCAACCTCAGCCACCTGTTCCTCCATGGCAACAAGCTGGGGAGCCTGGGCCAGGACACCTTCCGGGGGCTGGTGAACCTGGACCGCCTGCTGCTGCACGAGAACCAGCTGCGCTGGGTGCACCACCGGGCTTTCCACGACCTGCACAGGCTGACCACCCTCTTCCTGTTCAACAACAGCCTCACGGAGCTGCAGGGCGACTGCCTGGCCCCGCTGGCCGCCCTGGAGTTCCTCCGCCTCAACGGCAACGCTTGGGACTGCGGCTGCCGGGCGCGCTCCTTGTGGGAGTGGCTGCGGAGGTTCCGCGGCTCCAGCTCGGCTGTCCCCTGCGCGTCACCTGAGCCCCGGCAAGGCCAGGATCTGAAGCTGCTGAGGGCCGAGGACTTCCGGAACTGCACCGGGCCAGCGTCCCCGCACCAGATCAAGTCGCACACGCTCACCACCACGGACAGGGCCGCCCGCAAGGAGCACCACCCACCATCCCACGGCCCCGCCAGGGACAAGGGCCACCCGCATGGCCACCTGCCCGGCTCCCGGCCGGGCCACAAGAAGCCAGGCAAGAACTGCACCAGCCACAGGAACCGCAACCAGGTCTCGAAGGCCGGCTCCGGGAAGCAGATGCAGGAGCTGCAGGACTACGTGCCCGACTACCAGCACAAGTTCAGTTTCGACACTCTGCCCACGGCACGGCCCAAGAGGAAGGGCAAGTGTGCCCGCAGGACCCCCATCCGTGCCCCCAGCGGGGTGCAGCAGGCCTCCTCAGGCAGCTTCCTGGGGGCCTCGCTCCTGGCCTGGATACTGGGGCTGGCAGTCACTCTCCGTTGAGGACCCAGGGTGCTGGCCCCCCGCACTGCCACGTGTCCACCAAGGGACAGAATTCCCTTTTCTTCTTCTTCTTCTTTTTTTTTTTTTTTAACCAGGGGAGCAGCTGCTGGGTAGCAGGAAATGGCTGAGAGAGCCTTCGGCCGCTGGCTGGACCCTACCCCGTGGATTATAAACCCAAAGTGTACAGCCCTAGGTGGGAGGGGATTAGCACCAGCTGTCCCCGCCAGCCCCCGCCAAGCCGACCGCCCACGGACAGCGTGGGCTCCAGCAAGGCAGAGAAAGGCGCACAGCTCAAATTCATTAGCAACGACGGGACGAACGCCCTTCCCAGGACCTGGGCTCTTGCGGATGCTGACCGCTGAGAGAGGTCCAAAGGGCCCACTGTTAGGGCTTGGAGGAGAACAACCAGACTCGTCCAAGAGGCTGGGTCGACCAGCAGCCCGGGAGCCCTGGAGCAGGTGGCAACTTGTCCCTGCCCTGAATGCAATCCCGCTCCACCTTGGGCCCTTCCTTGGGGGGCAACGCCTCTCATTCCTGATGTCTCAGGCCACCCTGGCAGACCCAGGCCCAACTGCTGGGGTCCAAGAACCAATTACCAAAGGAAAGATCATCAGAGGCTGAAACGTAGAACTTCACCACCTGCAGTGAGGTTCTCAGAAGGTGCAGTTTTCTACCTACGTCCACTTATATATACATATATATATACACACACCCGACACGTATATGTACACACACGCAGACACACACTCACATGCACAGGATGCCCACCCCACTCCAGCTCCAAACTCTACGTCTCATCATGTTTATAAACTACACGGAAAACTATGTCTGCCGAACTAAGGATCGTACTAGGGACTTCTAGCAAGAACAAGGTATAGCATTTGTGTCTAGAATCCTAACCTGGCTACGGGGGCCCCTGCACTCGCTGGACCTGCCAGGGGCCTGCCAGCAGCAGCGAGGGTTAGGGAGAAGGGAAGGCGGTGAGAATCACTTCAGGGGACCAATATTCTTAGACATTTAGAGCATCACCTTGGTTTTTTTTATGCAACACAGCCTGTCTGTCACCCCGAGCTTCCCTCCCCCCTTCCTACGGTAGCTGTGGGCGTCAGGGTGAGCCGCGGGAAGCCCAGGCCTGGCTGACTGGAGAAGGGGAGGAAGGGGGCCTCGGTTTCTGAAACCAGCAGACGCGGCAGCATCCACAGTGTTAGTCCACAGGCTGGATGGGGTCATCGGCCTAGCATTTGGCCAGCGACAGTGTGGACAGTGTGGACAGTGTGGACACCGAGCATGGCCTGGGCCTCCACCACAGCTGGAGTTCTCCTGGCCGCTATGTGGTAGGCAACCTGGCGAGGGCGCTGTGTAGGCTGTCCAGAGGGAAGTACCAGGGGCATTAGCAGAAGGGAAGCCCTGAGGGCGTTTCCAGAATCTTCTCAGGCCCTTCCACACTATGGAGGCCCCGGCCAGGAGGCGCCCGGAGCCAGACAGAGGTCAGGGGGTGGCAGACTCAGGGGTCAGGAGTGGGAGCAGACGGTGCACGGGAACCAGAACTGGCCGTGCTGCTGACTGGGCCAGGTGGGCACAATCTCTTTTGCGCTTTGCACAGACCTGAACTTCCCACCCGAGAAGATGTGTACAAGGAGAAATGCCGAATCCAATTAAGGGAGGAAAATGATACCAATAAAAACGTTTCTCTTGGACAAGAACCCTGTTTTTCATTTCCAAACCCCGCATTCCTGACGGGTAGCGGAGCCCGGGCTCTGGCAGGCAAGGCTGGCTGGGCACGGCTTTGTTGGTGGGAGGAGCCGTGGGGGGCAGGGGCACGCGGAGCGCACACACGCTTGCACACACGTGTTCTTTGTTCCCCCCAGTCCTCCCCTCGCCTGCACACCGCATGATTCACTTCCCACATTCTGGCGGCGCTGATTTGGCTGCCTGTCTGCGCCTCTCCCCAGAGCAGGCTGGTCCCGGATCCTTCCCGGCCTGTTCCCAAGAGCTCCTGATTCTCAGAGGGTGGTGGTGGGGCTGCAAGGGAACAGCCAGTTCCCTGGGCCCTGGGGCCATCCAGGGGGCCAGGGAGCGGCCCACATAGCTGCAGGAGGGGCCTGGAGGTCGCACGGGACCCTCTGGCTGTGCAGGGAGGAGAGAGCTGCCCACACGGAGGGCAGAAGGCCCATGGTTTCAGGCCCTCTGGACAGATCTTCGGGACCGGGAGCCCTGTGGTGGCAGAGGGAGCAGTCCTGGGCCTGTGGGGGCTCCCACCGCGGCCCTGCTCTGACACAGGTGAGGGCACTCAGCAGCTCACCTGCCATGCAGTGACACAGCTGCCCCAAACCTCCTGCCACCAAGACCCGGGTTCAGGGCAGGGAGAGGTGCGCCGAGGCGCCCCTCCTCCACTCTGAGGCTGCGGCCACCTTCCCAGTTGCAAAAAACTTTCAGCCTCTGTCTGCACTTTGGCTGGGCCACTTCCGCCCCTACATGCTCTCCACTCTGGGTTCCCGGGAGCAGAGCCAGCCTCAGGATCTCCCCACACAAGCTCTTCCCATGGCCCCCAGAAGGGGCCACCCCCTAGAGTGCATGCCACAGACAGATGCTGAGCTGTTGTCCAGGCTCTGGGTACATCAAAGGGAGAGGGTGTGGCTCTCGGCAAGGAGCTGGGGGCCTACAAGTGGAAACAAGTGTGACTACCAGCATGGGATCCCTGCCTGCGACAGTCCCCCCCCACCCCGCCCTCCGGAAGTGGGGAACTCGGCGGGGGTGGGGCAGTCAGAGAGGACTTGGAGGAGGAAGAGACCCCGTTGGGTCTCGGGTCTCCTGGTGAGTCGGCCAGGCCAGCATGTGGGGCGTATTCTGGGCAGAGGGCTGGGGGCACACGCTGGCTCTGCAGACCCTTGAGTCCAGGAGGTGTGGGAGCCCGGCCCGGTAAGGGGGAGGCCCTTGGGCTGTGCCCTGGCAGTGGAGGAATTCAGAGCTTCCCCACTCGGGTGCCCCCCAAGCCCCCCAGCCCCTCCCCGAGCTCAAGGTCCCCTTGCCAATGCTCCTCAACAGTGGGTTCCATCCGTGCCATTTGCCTCTAGCACACAGCCAGAGCTTTCCCCGGTGCCAGCAAGCTGGAGCGCTCGCCTGCTCACTGGAAGCCTGCCCGGGCCACAGTCCCGTTCCCAGACACCTGCTGCTTCCACGCTGGGAAAGTGTTCCCGTAACCGTAACCGTTTAAGCGCAGAAGTCCTGCACCCCCAGCTCTCCATTCACCCACACCCCTCTCCTGGCCTGCCCAACACCCCCTGGCTCACTCTGCTCACCGCAGGGAAGAGCCCCCGCCCCCAACCCATACCCCGCTCCCTCCCCTGCTGGGCCTGTGCATTGCCAGGGAGCCAAGAATCCCATTTAGCAAATGTTTACTCATCACCTAGCTAATCACTCAGCACTCTGCCACAGGGCCAGCAGGCACCAGCACGGCCCGCGAGCAGGTCTGGGGGAGCTGGCAGCTGCGGGAAGGCTTCCAAAGGCTGAGCTGCGGGGCCTGGGCTCAGAGAGGACTGAGTTTGCTGGAGACTGGAGACGGAGGCTCCCTGGGAGGCCTCCTCCCTCAGATTTGCATGGGCTGTCCGGGCTGTCCGCAGCCATACCCAGCCAGACCCCCCTCCTCAAGTCTCCACCTCTCACTGACCTGGAGGAAGCCTGTCTTTCTCTGTGTGCCTTTAAAAATTTTTAAATAAAGTTTTGTCTATTAGAAAGGCAGGGTTACAGAGAGGGAGAGCCAGAGAGAGAAGAGACGGAAGAGATCTTCCATCTGCTGGTTCACTCCCCAAATGCCCACAAGAACCAGGTCTGGGCCGGGCTGCCGTCAGGAGCCAGGAACGCCATCCAGGTCTGCCAGGAGGGTAGGAGGGACTCAGGCACCTGAGCCATCGCCTGCTGCCTCCCAGGGTGCACATTAGCAGGGAGCTGGAGTCAGGAGTGGAGCGGGGACTGGAACCCAGGCCCTCCACCTGGCAGCTTAAGGACTGCTCCCAACGCTGGTGCCAGCCCCGCCTGCTGTGTCCATCCTCTGACTGGCACGGCTGTGACCCTGTGCAGGCTCATCTCCCAGCCAGGCTCTCCGGGCTCGCTGTCCTCTGAGTGGGAGTGCAGCACCACCCGACCCCATGTCACCAATCCCCCACTATCAGCTCTAATGGGCCAATTTTGTTTTACCTCTGTCTACTCTGGGAAAATGTCAGGAACCTTTGTGCATTAAAACACCCTTTCAGTTCTGTGCTGGACCTCTCCCTCTCGGCTCCTACAATTGTCCCTTTTAACTCCCGGTGCTTTCAGTAGAAATCTGCCGGACTCCCCCCTTTCAGGCTGCCAATAACTATGAGCACTTAAAACACACACACACACACACACACACACACACACACACAGAAACATGGATTGTTGGCTAAATAACTCACAGCACAACCAAAAAGCCATGGGGAAAAAAAGTAGGAGGCTGGGGGCGGGGCCAGGCACCACGGTTGCCACCTGCACTTTCTCCCTCACCTGTCTTAAGAGGACTGCTGGAATCTGGGTAGTCTGTGGCCCCGAAAAGTCCACAGGGTGAAGGGACAGAGGCTGTCCCAGGGGAGAGAGGGAAGAAAGAGCAGGTACCGCGCTGGGTCCGTCGGCCCCGCCCCCGGAGCCGTGAGCGCCAGGGGCGCGACCGCAGCTCGTTGCAGCATCATCTCGGTGCCTGGCTCCCAAGGCCCCTTCCCTGGGAAAGAAGTGGGTCAGCCTCACGCGCAGCAGCAGCCTGCGCGGTGCGGCCCGCCCCCCGTCTCTCTTCTTTCAGCTCTCATTTCTCATTAGAGCCGTTAGTTTCTAAGCACCGGGAGGGTGGAGAAGGCTCAGTCTTTGTGCCACCGGCGTGTGTGTGGCAGCGGGCACACTAATGGCATGCCTGCACGGAGGATGTGACACCGCTGCTGCAGGCTGTGCTCAGGTCACAGCGCTTCTCCAAATTGGCTCAGGCTCCACAGCACCCCCGCCCCTCTCTCCCGGGCCTCTCAGAGCTCCTGCCAATGGCAGCTTCCGAGACTCCCTTGGAGGGCCCTGAGAAAAGAGAGGAATCCAGACATGTATTAAAGCCCCTGGTGTCTCTAAGTGCCATCTCCCAGGAGGCCGAGTCGGAGGCACGAGGCACAGGGCGATGCAAGTGTTCAGGACCTACACGGCTGGGAGCCCTCGGAGGCTGCCTCTCCCCACTCCCACAGCCCTGGGGACAGTCACCCAGAGACACTGATCCCCTCTGAGTGGCAGCATCCAGGAGGTCGCTCTCTGCTCCAGGCAAAATGAGATTCAAGAGATAATTACCTGGGGCCAGTGCTGTGGCATAGTGGGTAAAGCAGCCGCCTGCGGTGCCGGCATCCCACATGGGTGCCAGTTCGAGTCCCAGCTGCTCCACTTCTGATCCAGCTCTCTGCTACGGCCTGGGAAAGCAGTAGAAGATGGCCCAAGTCCTTGGGTCCCTGCACCCAGAATAAGCTCCTGGCTCCTGGCTCCTGGCTCCTGGCTCCTGGCTTCGGATCAGCTCAGATCGGGTCATTGTGGCCATTTGGAGAATGAACCAGCGGATGGAAGATCTCTCTCTCTCTCTCTCTCTCTCTGCCTCTGCCTCTCTCTAACGCTGCCTTTCAAATAAATAAAAAAATCTAATTAAAAAAGAGGTAATTACCAAGTTGGACCTTCTCAGTGGTGAGGTGCCAGCAGGACAAAGCCACAGAGGGAAGCATGAGTGGGCTGCATAGCGGGGTGGGAGAGGGGGTCCTACAGGGCAGACCCCTGAGGGCACACAGGGGTGGCATTGCTGGGGAGCAAAAAGCACAGCCCTACAGGGCAGTCCTGCGACCAGGGTCAGAGGCAGGGAGGGCAAGGTGAGGAGGGAGGCCCTGTGCACATGCTCACACCCTGCGGGCGTGGTGTCCTGTCACTGCCCTCCTGCTGCCAAGTGTGGGACACTCACGTGGTCCACAGAGTGGAGCCCCAGCCACCTTCCAAGCCCCCCCCCCCCGGGCCCAGTGCTCCCTACCTGTGAGGCAGCAGGAGAAACCCACACCCCCCTTTACTCGATCGCAGGGGTGCTCACCAGAAGAGGGGCAAAGGGGTCTGCCAGGAGAGTCACTTGGGAAGAGTGAAGGGTGGGGCCAGCTGCCACCGTCCTCATATGCTGGTGACCGCTGGTGACCCTGGGTCTGGGCCGCGGGGCGTTCTGTGGTGGGAGCCGAGCTGCAGCCCGCAAAGGCCCCCGTGTCTGATGTGTGCCTGCAGGCTCTGCACTTCCCGCCTGGGTGGGCCACATTGACATTCGCCCCCCGTGCCAGGGGTCACTCGGGTCTCCAAGGTGTTTTTGTTCTTTATGCCAGTGCTGAGACCCAGAGGCCCTGAGGTCCCTGACCCCTGTTTCGCCTGCCGGGGAGGGCGTCTCTCGCGGTTTCATCTGTGGCGTTTCAAGTGTCACCAGGCGTCTGGCGCTCGGCCGGCAGAGGAAAGCCAGGCTCTTCTGAATTTCCGCACCAGCCGCCTTCTTGGGGGCTGCCCCCAGGGCGGGCCCCTGCGTCTGTGCCTGCGGCCGGAGCAGAGCCCGTCGGAGCCCATCGGAGAAGAGGCTCAAGTCCACCTGGGGTGGGGCTTCTTTGCAGGATGCCCCAAGAGGGAGGCCAGGCAGAGACTGGGTATTCGGCCACCACTGGCTGCCCGGCCTCCTGGCCGCCAGGGGCTGAGAGCCAGAGGCAGGTTCAGCTAGCTGCTCTGCGCCCGAGGCCTCTGAGACGCCTCGGGTCCCTCCACCCAGCGGAGGAATGTCTGTAACAGCCTCACAGGTGAGGCACAGGGAGGGGCTGTGCCGCCTCCCTCCTCCCCACCATGCTCACACGGGGCCCACACTGGCCTCAACCTCCCCAGCAGCCCCGTGGGAAGCTGCCTGACCCATGCCACTCCGCCTTCAGCCTTCTTGCTCAGTCAACCCCTGAGGCGGACTCCAGCCAGGTCACGGCCGTCTCCTTGCATGTCTGTTTCCCCTCCTAAGACCAGTGGCAACAGAAAGAGTAACTTAGAGGGGCCGGAGCTGTGGCACAGCGGGTAAAGCCACCCATGCAGTGCCGGCATTCCCCCGTATGGGCACCAGTTCAAGTCCCAGCTGCTCTACCTCCAATCCAGCTCCCTGCTAATATGCCTGGGAAAGCAGTGGAAAATGGCCCAAGTGCTTGGGCCCCTGCACCCATGTGGGAGACCTGGACGAAGCTCCTGGCTCCTGGTTTGGGCCTGGCCCAGTCCTGGTCATTGTGGCCACTGGGGAGTGAAGTGCAGATGGAATAGCATTGTCTCTCTGTAACTCTGACTTTAAAAAATAAATAAATCTTTTTTAAAAAAAGCAACAGAGCTGGATATTTATGGTCTTTTAAAAAACATTTTTATTTATTTGAAAAGCAGAGAGACAGACATGCTCACAACATCCAGGGCTGGTCCAGGCCCAAGCCAGGAACCAGCAGCTCCATCTGGGTCTCCCAAGTAGGGGGCAAGGACCCAAGGACTTAGGCTGTCACCTGCTGGCAGGGTGCACATTGGCAGGGAGCTGGGACTGCAGACAGAGCCAGGACTCAAATCCAGGCACTGGCGTAGGAGATGCAGGTATCCCAACTGGCATCTTTATTTATTTATTTATTTATTTATTTTGACAGGCAGAGTGGACAGTGAGAGAGAGAGACAGAGAGAAAGGTCTTCCTTTGCCGTTGGTTCACCCTCCAATGGCCACCGCGGCCAGCGCACTGCGGCCGGCGCACCGCGCTGATCCAAAGGCAGGAGCCAGGTGCTTCTCCTGGTCTCCCATGGGGTGCAGGGCCCAAGCACCTGGGCCATCCTCCACTGCACTCCCGGGCCACAGCAGAGAGCTGGCCTGGAAGAGGGGCAACCGGGACAGAATCCGGCGCCCCGACCGGGACTAGAACCCGGTGTGCCGGCGCCGCAAGGCGGAGGATTAGCCTAGTGAGCCGCAGCGTCGACTTTTTTTTTATTTTTTGCCGACTGGCATCTTAACCACTGCCCCAGACACCTGCCTCTGTCTCCTGCCTGAGCAGCGTCCCCCTGGGAGGCTGGGTTAGCACCCCTACTCCACACTGGAGGAAACTGGCCTTCTCCTTACTCGGGTCTGTGCTGCTGAGTCTGAGACAGGGACTCTCTCCCCAAAACGGCCCTGCCCCCCGCCCACCGCGGAAGGAACCCAAGGTGTCACTAGAGGAGACCTCGTCCCCCAGGCCCACGGCAGATGGGATCTCCTTAGGGGGAGCCAACTCTTCCTTCCCATCCCCAGGAATTTCAAGCCCAAGACAGTTGATGTGCAGAAGCCTTGGGGAGGCTGGTCCAGGAGGCTCTCTCTGCTGTCCTGACCCCTCAGACTTTCCCAGACCAGGTCACCGGACATCAACCCAGGTGGCCGAAGGAGCAGGCAAGAGCCCCCCTCCTGTCTTCCTCCCACCAAGAGCAGCGGTGCTGTGGCAGAAACCACCAGAAAGTGGCCCGGGTGGTTCTTCATCCCCCTCCCCAAAAGGACCCCATGTTGAGTGCAACAGACTCCAGCAATCCAGGTGGAGGAATCGGTCCGGATGCCCTTCCTCCCACAGGGCTCCGTGAGCCTGCACGAGGGGCTCCACGGCCACGCTCAGGCCACTGAGGACCATCGGGGGCTCCTGGATGCCGACATGAAACGGATACATCCCTTGTCACCCCCACAAGTGGCCCCATTTTTAATAGCTCTTTCTGCTTCAAGCACTTTCGCTAATCCATTTTGGGGCTCTTCTCAGAGCTTTTGTGAATACTGGGACTGTTCTGGGAATTTGCATTTTCTTTTTAATTGTTCATTAGAAAAATTCACTTAAAAAATTTCACATGCATTTTTAACCAAGTATGTCTGCTTTGCTTGCTTGGAATATTTTTTTTTTTTTTTTTTGACAGGCAAAGTGGACAGTGAGAGAGAGAGACAGAGAGAAAGGTCTTCCTTTGCCGTTGGTTCACCCTCCAATGGCCGCCGCTGCAGCCGGCGCACCGCGCTGATCCGATGGCAGGAGCCAGGATCCAGGTGCTTTTCCTGGTCTCCCATGGGGTGCAGGGCCCAAGCACCTGGGCCATCCTCCACTGCACTCCCTGGCCATAGCAGAGAGCTGGCCCGGAAGAGGGGCAACCGGGACAGAATCCGGCGCCCCGACCGGGACTAGAACCCGGTGTGCCGGCGCCGCTAGGTGGAGGATTAGCCTATTGAGCCACGGCGCCGGCTCGGAATATTTTTATGATTTAAAAAATTTGTTTCCAACTTTTTATTGTCTAACAGTGGAATTGACTTAAAAAAGAATAGGCAGGG